TCAGCCAGTGCCTTCAGCACCCTCGGATGGAGCTCATCCGGGCCTGCCGACTTAAAGGCATCCAGTTCCTTGAAGTGCCTCTGCACCATCTCGGGGTCTACGCATGGCAGTCTGGCACCTTGCTGCTGCCTCTCTACAACCCGTGAGAGACTTGTCCTGCCCCTCACTTAGGAACACTGAGGCGAAGAACTAATTGAGGAGTTCAGCCTTGTCCCCCCTGTCTGTCACCAATTGCTTCTGCCCATTGAGTAGAGGTCCTATTCCTCCCTGGGCCTTCCTTTTACTCCCTATATATCTAAAAAACAATTTTTTGTTATCCTTTACTTGGGATGCCATCCTCAGCTCCATGGTAGCTTTGGCCCGTCTAACTGCCTCCCTACAAGCGCGAGCAGAGGAGGCATACTCCTCTTTAGTAATCTCTCCCCGTTTCCACTTTTTATATGCTCCCCTTTTTGCCCGTAGGCTGCTCTGGATTTCTCTGGTCAGCCAAGGAAGCCTCTTGGCCCCTTTCCCCCTTTTTCCTCGCATCAGGATTGTCTCCCTCTGTTCCTGAAGGATCATTTCTTTAAGGCACAGCCACCCTTCCTGGGCTCCCATCTCTTCAAAACTCTTACTCTGCAGTGCGTCCTTGACTAAATGCCTGAGTTCATTGAAATCAGCTTTCCTGAAGTCTACCACTTTCACCCTACTAGTTACTTTACCCACTCGACGTCTTATGATGAATTTTTAGCACTTGCATTGTGGACCCCTTCAGCAACATGTAAATATAAAGCCCCCTCCCAGCTGAGGTGCTGCTTCACCACTCCACAGTGCAGGGGCTGGTGTGGAGGGATCCTAGAATAACTGTCAGCCACGGGTCCCCAGATGCTTCCAGGAGCAGCCGTGTGGAAATGGGGAAAGTGTCTTTTGAGTATGGGACTGCCAGCTTCTCCTCTGTGCTTCTTCCTTCAAGTGCAAGTCTTGTTGAGTTCATTTCTGGGGGGCTGGCCAGGTGCAGCATTAACTAGGTCCTCTTCTGCCTTTTAATCATCTTAGTGGACTCGGACCCTCAGCTCTGATCTTAGTCCACTCTATGTCCTTGAAAATTCATTAACACATCTGCTTTGCCAGTATGCCATTTGCTTGGCTTTAAGATGTAATCATGAACAAACCTGAGTAAAAGCAAGACCTACACAAAATTTGTCTGACGAATTGTTCAGGGACTTGAGCAGAGTGGAATAGGATCACACTTGAGCACCTAAATCCTCTTACATGCTTAATAGATTAAATAGGGTCTGGACCCTGCTGTCAGTCTTCTCTTTTCCAGAAACATGCACCTCACATCCATGGTTTGATGATAGCTGAAACCTTTGCAGCTGCTCTTGTCTTCTACTGACATAGGAGCTTTCTTGTCTTATTGCAGATAAAGGCAAAACCTTTCATAGTGTCCTGTCCCTGCAGAGACCTAGTCACCCATAGCTGAGTCTCGGGTTTCCTTACCCCACATCTTTTCCTACTTGGTACACATGGTGCCAGACTATTTCCTTGCACAGGATCCCTACCAGGCTTGGTGGCTGCACATCTGCTCTGGAGAATCAGCCCCTTCATCTCCAGCCCTGCCTTCCCCTGGATGTGTGGGCAGTCCAGGAGCTGCAGGAAGATGGGCTGGGTCTGCTTTAGCTACCTCATTGCTTCCTGAAAATGAAGGAATGCATCACTTCTATCCACTTCCCTAACCCAAATACCCGTCTGTCCTTCTTTCCTGCTTACCCTGCTAGCTATGTTCCCCACTGTGTGACAAAGTGCAGTTCACTCAGCCCAGTCCACACGGCTGGACATGGCACCGCAGGCTCTGAGCCTCAGTCTTCCCTGCCTGGAGCTGCTCCCTCTGTCTCAGGGCTCTGCTTCTTACACTTCGATCTCGCAGCCCCGCTCCTTCCGAGGGGACAATGACCAGGGAGTCCCAAACAAATCAGGTGAAGTCCCCAGGGCTACTGCCACGTGCTCCACTTCCTCCTTCCCTTCGAGACACCTGTCCTGTCTCACTCTTCAGTCTAGGCAGTGAGACTGAGGTTTTCTCTCTGGTGTTCTCCAGCAGCACTCATGGGACATCCCAAACAACCCAAACTCCACTGAAGAAACTTTCATTCAGTCTAGGATGAAGCATTGAGTCCCTGCTGGACTCCTTTTACATTCCTGGGTCCTCTTAAGCAACACCAAGACACAAGGCTGCCTCCCTGGGCCTTGCTCCTTCTCATGGTCCACTACTGCAGAGCAGCTGGCTTCACTTCTTATTCCCACCCAGCTTCCACCACAGGGAGAGGCAACACCTTGGTCTTTCGTTTCCTGATGAGTTTCATTCTCGATTAAGGGCCTCTAACTCTTAAAAGCCTCTACCTCAGGCTTTTCATGCTTCCCCACATGATGTGTCACCAGCTTTGAGACAACTTAGGATGCCTCAAATATCCTGACATGTTACACACTATTGATTGCTTCCAAATCTAACATGACAGCTAAAATCCAAACCTTTAGATTTTGTGGCTAAATTAAAATCCACATTCATGATTCAGTAAAAGTGCTGATTTCTACTGTATCTCCAAAAACAATAAAACAGTTGGTTAACACAAAAAGGAAAAAAGCATTGGAGATGTTTGCTAGGTACATTCTGCTTTAGATGATGTGCAGTGGATTGAAACTGTAGACTAGGTTACATGTAAGATATGATCACGTCATCCAAGATGGGTTTGGAAAGCTGAAGAAATGAACTGAAGTCTGTTGGTAGAGAATCCAAACAGTTCTGTTCTCTCTTTGTAGGGAACAGGAGACTCACTCGCCTATTTACCTGCTGTGTCAAGCACTGAAAGACCCACACTGTAAAGTGAAAAGACTATGGTAAGAAACTTTGTTCCTTTTAAAACCCCACGCTCCCTGATGCTACCACAGGAGTCCTACAGCAGAGCAGGAATCTAGCTGTCCCAGGTCTGGTGTAATGATGGTAGAGAATGGTCTCATCTCTTAGAACTGGGTTTGCATGCACAGTCAATGGGGCAGATTCTCACTTGGAGTAAGTTGTCTCCAAGCTCCCTCATTTCAGTGGTCCTACAACAGTTTACAGTTGCTGAGAATCAGCTGAAATGTGTGTGTGGTCAGTTTATGTCAGCCTGGCCTTTCTGTGATGTTTAACTCAATTAACTCAAAGGAGCAGTAGTTAGAAAGGAGATCTGTATGCTTGCAGAAGGCTGGCAAGAAAACATAGGGTGCCTATACGTGAGCACGGAGACTTCTCTGAAGCAGTGGAGTTCCAGCGCATTGGAGCAGACTCTATTAATCAACTCTGTTAGAGTGTGGCAATTCCTGCACTCCAGCAGCCTCCTGCGTTTCGTATATCAGCATCCCTGTGTTTTAGTTCAGGCATCCCTGCTGCCATTTTTAAGTGCAGGGATGCTGATACATGAGCCGCTGTAAAGAAGGCACTGCCTCCCACCCCCGGAGCACATGTAAAAGTGCCTTAGGTATTCAGACCTTAGGGAATTTTAAGTACCTGTCACCACAGTTTGTGAATCCTGTGCACATCTATGTAATTCACAGGCACTTATCCACATTTCATCTCTTTCATGCTCACTCAGTGGTGAGGTGATAGCTGAGGAGGGGGTTATTTTTTCCCCTTTCTTTCTGTGCCAATCACCCTTTCCTTTGTTTTCCCTTGCTTTCTTCTTCCACTCTTAGGTCTCCACCCCTCTTGCTGTACCAGCTATTGTTACTGGTAAGGCCTTTAAAAGAAGGCTAATCTGGTGTTTGGATTTGGCAGGGCCAGGCCAGGGCTCAGCTTGGTCCTCTCTGACAAAGGTTTCTATAATTGGATCATTGCTGTGGACCATGCTTCACTCCGTCTCCAGAGATTTGCAGCCACACTTCTCTTGTAGGACTGGGGCAAGCAGCTGCTTGGCAGGGCTCAGGGTGGATGAGCTTCTCTGAGACAGCCTATGCTAGAGAGCAATGGCCTTGCCAGCAATGCTGCAACTGCCAGACACAGGTGTGACAATGCAGTTACAGCCACATGTTCTACCAGCAGTGCAAAAGAATCGCATCTTCTTTGGTGGTCAGCCTTCCACAGAGCCAGGGCAACCAGAACTGTCCACCAGCAAGCCCCTTTGCACTGCCCAGCACTGGCAGCTCCACAGATCTCCTTCCCCCAAGTGCATAGCAGATTTGACAGCTCAGAGGACCGGCTCTGGCATCTGCTGAGTCCAGCTCCTCATTGGAGCTAGTCAGAAAATGTCAGAACTTCAATGAAAAAGTATGCAATGGCAAGCAGCATTTTCCAGAGAGCACAGTTCCCATTTCCAGCAGTTCTGCTACCACACACCTGCTGCAGGCGAGATCCAGAGGGCAGGAGGGGAGCCATGGCTGGTCTCTGTGCTGTCTCTGCTCTGCCTGCCACAACCACACCAGGCCTCAGAAAGGGTAGGACTACACATAAAATTGTATAACACCCCCTAAAACGCTGTTTTTTATGTGGTATCTTGGGATTCTTCTGGAAAAAAAATATAACATGCAAATTAAAGGGTAATTAGCATTGCTACAATGCACATTCCAGTGCCTCCCACTCCTCCACCCACACTCCCCCACACCACCATACACATGTCCACATTCAGTTGCACAGGGACAGACATACATACATAGCTGGATGCACATGCACACCCCCAACACACCATTTCTAGTGAGAAAGGTCATATCTATTGGTTTGCTTTCAGCTGACTTGTCCATCTGAAATGAATGAAAAGGATGTGGCAGGGGCCGTGAACGTGAGTGGCCCATGCCTAGTGTGTCAAGGGCCTCCTATTGGCCTGAGCTGACTCTGTCAGACATGTTCCTATAGGCACACGCATAGCCATGGACATAAGTGAGGCTGCCCCAGGCTCATTTCACTGTAACTGCTCTTGGACTCCTGAGAGGCAGGACCTCCCCCCCCCGGCACCTCAGAGATGGCCACCCAGACAGAGCCCCTGGCTCTCGGCTGTGGGGGCTGCCTGTCCCTTTTCCAGGCTCTGGGGCCTGGGAGCATGGTGACCTCCCCTTGTGGGGTCTGCTCCCTTTTGGGGTCTCTGGCGCGCCAGCTGGAGGAGCTCCAGGCCACAGTCCAGAGACTGCGTGCCATCAGGGACTGCGAGCAGGAGATAGACTCCTTCTGCCAGGCCCTTCTCCCCCGGGAGGCAGAGGGTAGACCACAGTCTCCCTCCAGGCCAAGGGAGGACTCCGGGACCTCCCACTCTGTCCAGCCAGGGGCATGGACCACGGTGGTCAAGGTCCCTAAGGCCTGCCGCACCAAGGCCTCTGCCCCGCTGGAGTTGAGCAACAGATATGCACCTCTTGCCACTCGAGCAGAGCCTGCTGAGTTGCCGGCTCCCGCAGGCAACATGGGCCCAACTGCAGCTCCCGTCCCTGCTCTCCCCAAGACAAAACGTAAGGTGTTTGTTGTGGGAGACTCCCTTCTGAGGGAGATGGAGGGGGCCGCCCCGACCCCTTAGCCCGGGAAGTCTGCTGCTTCCCAGGGGCCCACATCCGGGACATTGCAGAGAGGATCCCAGAGCTCCTCAAACCCACAGACCACTATCCCATGCTCCTAATTCATGTGGGCACCAATGACA